CTATGGCTTAGAGATTGGAGAAAAATTATAAGTTCAGGTGTAGGAAATGAATTTCCAGGAGGGAAATAACAAGATGCTATGGAGATAGGAACCGAGTTTATTGTTTGATACGACTGTTTCCCAGATATCAGTATTAGAATTGGTTGTCGAAGTATTGTTTGAAGTATCATTTTCTTTATTTCTTTTTTTGATAATTTTAAAGGTGGAATTGTTTTGTTAGATAATTGATTTGGGCTCGAAGCCATATTGAATGCGAGTATTTCTGTAGCAGTATGTAGAGACTGTGATAGTGGATGACCTTGAGGCCTTTACGAGGCGGCGGCGTTAGTGGACTTTATACGATAAGACTATTATATTATTATACATTACTGGTTTGCGGTGGCACTGCATAATTTGATGTTAATGCTAGTTAGAGCTATACAAAATGGTGCGCGTAAATGTCAACGTGTGGTCATTCATCAAAACCCGAATTGGTTTAGATTATTTAAAAAAAAAAAAATATATTTATGTATTGAAATGACTATTTTTTTCTATTTATCTTTTTACAATATTAATTATTTTACATATATTTATTATCCTGTATACATATAATGTTTCTGTTATTTTATTTTTTTTTTCAAAGGAAAGAGGTGCAGTCAAAAAACTACAAAATATTGTAAAAGATCATGAAGAACGTCTTAGAAAACTTCAAGTAGCTCAAGATGAAGATCAATTTAAAGCTGAGTTAATTACAAATAACTTGGATATTGTTGATAATACTATACAGTTGATAAGAAGAGCAGTTGCTAAACAATTACATTGGGATGAAATTTGGGAAATGATAAAACAATTAAATTGTGAAGATGATGGAAAAACCTACGCTATTGTAAATAGCATAAAATTAAATGTTAATCACATAACTCTTGAATTATAGTATGTTGAGCTTAGTTAATATATTGCATACTCTGTTATTATAATAATTAATATTATTATTTAGTGATCCTTATAATGAAGAAAAACAAAATGATTGTGATAAGAAATTAATTGATATAGATTTGGGTCAGTCTGCTTTTGGTAATGCTCAAAGGTATGTTAAATTAATTGAATATAAAATACATTTGTAATTGGGCAACAGTCTATTTATTTCGAATACAATTATTATAAGAGTACACATATATTTATGTTTTTTAACTTAATAGATACTACGGATCAAAAAAACAATCTGCTCTCAAAGAACAAAAAACAATTGATTCATCAAGTACAGTTTTAAAAATGGCTGAAAAAAAAACAAAACAAACTTTGAAAGACATTCAGGTTGTTGCTTCTATAAATAAAGTTCGCAAAACATACTGGTTTGAAAAGTTTTTCTGGTTTATATCTTCTGAAAATTATTTAGGTAAAATGTATTATTGGTTTTTTTTTTTCATGGCTACATTAGCAATTCATTTTCTGATAAATCACTGTATATTTATATGTATCTACTATCCATTATATATTATATTGTTGCTTAAAAAGAATAATTGTATACTTAGTTTTTATTTTTATTTTGTATCAATATTTTTGTTTAGTCATTGCTGGACGTGATGCTCATCAAAATGAAGTAATTGTTAAACGATATATGAAACCATCTGATGTGTATGTCCATGCTGGTTATAGTGGTGCTACTACTGTTGTAATTAAAAATCCTAGTAGTCAACCTGTCCCACCAGCAACTCTTAATGAAGCAGGTGTTATGGCAACTTCATACAGGTACATAGTATATACGAGGGCGTACCCAAAAAAAAAAACCGAACTATTTTTGTACAAAGTTATTTATTTAATTTTTTTTCAAAAAACATTTAATCTCTTTCAAAATACTCTCCGTTGGAGTTAATGCACTTGTCCAATTTTCAAAGCACTTTTTAAACTCATCTTTTGTGATGCCTGCCAACGCCTCCATTGTTTCTTTTTTAACTTCATCAATGTCTGCGAAACGCTTTTCTTTCATGTTCCTTTTCATTCTGGGGAATAAAAAGAAGTCGCAGGGAGACAGGTCGGGTGAATAGGGTGGATGGGACACAGTGGTCATATCATTTTTGGTCAAAGAAAGGGCTGTGTGAGCAAGAGCATTGTCGTGATGAAAAAACCAGTCTCCTGACTGCCACAAATCAGGTCTTTTTCGCCTCAAACTGTTGCGTAATCTTTTTAACACCTCTAGGTATAATGCCTGGTTAACTGTCTGACCGGGTGGAACAAACTCCGAATGGATGACTCTTCTTACATCAAAAAAACAAATGAGCATTGTCTTAATGTTTGACCTCACTTGACGAGCTTTTTTAGGGCGAGGCGATGCTGGAGTCTTCCATTGGCTCGATTGTTGNAGCACCATGATTCGTCATCTGTAATGACCTTGGAAAAAAAGTTTGGGTCATTTTGGAATTCTTCTTTCAAAGAAGAGCATGATTCCACGCGGCCTTGTTTTTGCTGCTCAGTTAGCAGTCGAGGAACAAATTTTGCAGCCACCCGTCTCATCCCCAAATCTTCACTTAAAATTCTTTGTACTGAACTGCATGTCACACCAGATCTCTCCACTACTTCTTCGATGGTTTGCCATCAATCTTCCAGGATAATTTTGTGAATTTTTTCTACATTTTCGTTGGTTTGCGCCATCGAAGCGAGGTTGGTCGTCTATCGACATTTCACCACTTTTGAAATGGGAAAACCACTCAAATACTTGATTTTTCCCTAAAACATCACCTTTATAAGCTGTTTTCAACATCTCAAGGGTTTCTGTGCCTGTTTTCCCGAGCAGGAAGCAAAACTTGACGGTCGCGCGCTGTTCACGCAAATCAGCCATTACAAAAACGATGAATATGAAAAATAACTTTTAAAAAAAATATCATACCAATGTAACAACCTTCCACAATGACAGCCATTGGCATATTGAATGTTCAGAAGTATATTTATTCCCCCCCACTGGAAAAACATCGGTACTATTAAAACTCTGTCCCACACAACATCAGTTCAGTTTCTTTTGGATACGCTCTCGTAAGTAGTAGGAACAAGTTGTGATTTATTATTGTAAATTTACAGTGTTTCTTGGACTATGAAAATGAATTTGCAAAATGCGTTTTGGGTAAAACCTGAACAAGTAACTAAGACAGCACCTACAGGAGAATATTTAACAACTGGCAGCTTTATGATACGCGGTAAAAAAAATTATCTACCAGCATCTCATCTTATATTAGGTTTGAGCTTTCTTTTTAAACTGGAGGATAGCTCAGTTGCAAGGTAGATAATATTATAATGTTTTACAATGATATAAAATTATAACACCTCAATATCTAAATATTTTTACTAAGACATGCAAATGAACGTAAAGTTAAGGGTATGGAATGTGAAGACTTAAATTATGCCATAGAAAATAATGAGAACTTTGTAAATATTTCAAGTGATAATGAAAGTGATGAAGGTAATTAAAAAAAAAAAATTGTATTACTGTTATGAATTTATAATACCTTTTGTAAAGATTTAATTATAATAATATTATTTTACAGAAGATTTAAAGAAACTTGCTGAACACAAAAAAGTTTTAGACATACTAACAAAAGAACATTCAGAAGAAGTAGATTTCAGTTCTAACAATGAACCATCAGAAAAGTAATTTTTATTTTAAACTGAATTTGAATTTTTTATACTTCTAAATAGAGAATTACTGGTTAATTTAAAACAACTAATTATTTCATTCTTGTAAATTTTAAAACTTCTCCCAAAAATTAATTTTTAATTAACAAAAATAAATTATTTAATAGCGTATTATTCTTCAATTTTTCACCCAGTACCTTTAAACCTTTAAAATGTGGAATTTCTGCTAGCTGTATTTGCTATGTAAAATCCATCAACATTTTCAGTAATTCATCCCTAAAACTTTTTTTGTTGTTTGTTTCTCAATTACCCACCAGTTTATTTGAAAATAATTCATACCATTCATGAAGTGTATAAATGGTAAATTAATGGTAAATGCTATGATGCTATGGGTGGCAAGTAGATGGTTAAAAGTTATTGAAATAAAGAAAAAGAGTGGAATAAGAAAGTGGAAGTTTGTTGAGTGGGATGTAGTAGAGATATAATTTAATTTGGTATAGGGAAATATACAATGTCTAATATTCTTATAAAGACATTTATTAACTACACTATATTATTGTTATTAATAGATGTATTCTAAATACTGACTAAAAAAAATGTATTATAATACCAATTACATTTTAGCTTTCCTCATTAATAATCAGGAATAAACTAATAGAATATGCTGTTTTTATTAAAAGTATTGCTATATTTTGTTCAGTATAACTGATGATATAGATACAACAAGTGTTCCAAATGATCATGAAGTTCAAAAATCTAGTGAAATATGTCAAAATGAATCTTCAGATAGTGATTGTGATAATAATGATGAAGAATCTAATGAAATCAGTGAATCTGGTATGATTTAATTGTTTAAATTTACTTAAATAAATATTTGTTTTATATTTTCAGTATTTTCTAATTTAGATATTAATTTATTTATTTATCAAAGAATTCAACTTTTAATAATTATATAGCTCTATTTTTAAGCAGTATTATAATTTCTAATCAATATTTAATTGGTATAAAATTGAATTGTTTAATAGTTAATTCCATTTAACCTTTAAAACAAAAAAATTGTAACCAAATTAATTAAAATTGAATGGATCAAATGGAAACTAAAAAGATAGAATTAATGAAAAGTTGCTTACAAACAAAAATTAATTGTAAAACCAATAACACTATTATTATTCCTCACTACAGAATCTAAAATATTAAAATAGGCTGAAAGCCTGAACAAACTCATGCAGAATATCTGACCAATTTATACCTAATAAATGTAATATATAAATGTATGAATTCTGGTATTAGTTATTATCAATAAACTTTTAAAGCATAATAATAGCAAACCCAATCAACATATAATTCTTAATTATTATATTTTTAATAAAAGATAAGATAAGATTTTTCTTACTGATTTAAGATTTTGTATTCAGAATAACATTTTACCATACAATTGAATAATAATAATTTATTACATATAGTAAAAGCAGGGCTCAAAAATTGTAGATAGTGGCAGATTTAATATAGGGTCCAGGGGTTCTCTAACCCACACTTAATTTTTGATGGTAAATTGGTTTTTTGGCTCTAAAAAAAAAAAATTTAAATTAACACGTAGCAGAAAAACAGTAATTATCAGTAATGTTAATTTCATATCTAATTCTATTCTACGTTTTATCCCCAATAGTTCCCTTATATCCCCATTATTGTTTACAAAGTATGACAAACAATCAACCTCTCATTAAATTTTCAAGCATTTATTTTTAATATTTAATAATTTTATCCACAGAGTACTTCTCAAATAACAAAACTCACAAAATTAATTTTTTGATAAGCAGCATGAAAATTTCTAAAATATTTTGAAAATTTAACCATGGCTAAAAAATACAAATATAATTTTTCTGTTCAAATTTCAAGTCTTTACAAATACTTTTAATTGAATCACAACAAAATTGATAATAATACATTTTGAACATTTTCCCATTTTTCCTACTTTTTCCTTCCAATCATTATAAAAACCAATAGAAAATCACTGGTGGTAAGATTTTCATTTTGTATTTTTTGATTTCATTTTTGTTTCATGTCAAGTATACAATATAGAACTAATTATTAATAGTATTATAATATTTGTGTTATTTATAATTGATTTTTTTTTCTTTTTAAGAACCAAAAATAATTGAACCAGTTAAACCTCTGATTTTGAAACGTGGACAGCGTGGGAAATTAAAGAGAATTAAAGAAAAATATAAAGACCAAGATGAAGATGAAAGAGAAATGAGAATTAGGCTTCTACAGGTATATTAATGTTAATTTATAATGTATTGTGTAATATATTATAAATTATTATTATTATTTATGTATTAAAAATTCAAAGTAAAATTCAATGAGCTATTGATAATGTTAACTAGTTAACACTTTAAAAATATTAAAAATTAATAACAAACTCATATAATAATATGTATTCTTTATATTAATATATTTATTACATCATTAGTATAGTAAATAAATATATAAATAAAACATTTATAAATATAAAAAAAATAAATAAAAGAATGAATGCCTCGCCTGGAGTACTATGATAATACACTTATCATAATGCTGTGTCTTACATGAATGCGACAAACAATGTCTGAACAATGCAATTCGCGTTATTGTCTGTCAATGAGATGATTGCAGTAGTGTCCAATGTAAATAGGAATGATGAACGAGAAATTATATATTGTGTATTATATACAATATATACAATATTACAAATTGTGTTGTGTTTAGTCCATCATTTGTATACATCTTCAATTACATTCAGGTGGTTACTTTTTACTAAAATTACTATTTAAATATTAATAAAAATGTTGAATTTTGAACAAAAATTGTTTCTTACTGAAAATAAAATTTAGTGCTTTACAGCTTTGCAGTAATTTACATTACTGTACATATATCTGTCATAATATTAATTAATACAATAAGTAGATAATAAATATTATCATAATAATTCTTATTATACAATATTACTGATATCATTATTATATTTCATTTTGTACCAAATCAGACTATTAAATTATGTTTCTGCAACTGTACATAAATATTTTATAAAATTAAAATACTATCCATATTTCTTCTTTTTGCGACTATATTCCACTCTTTGTCAGCGATAATTCTGTCCCTATACTTTCTATCAAATTTGTTTTACAAAACATTTTTTTTGAACTTATGATGTAAGAAGTTCTATTTGTTATTCCATGTTATGTTCCATACTAAGCAATGAATATTCAAATTAAATTAAAATAATAATAATGTGCAGGACACTGTGTTCGCTCCAGGTAACGCATTTATTCAATTATTTATTTTATTTTTATATATAAATTTATTTACTATATGTATTTACCAGTATTAAACATTTTAATAATTTTGTTTTTACTTTATTATTTTGTTACTTCATGATTATTACTAATTTATTATTAGAAATGATATTAATTAAAATTTGTTAATTTTAATTGACAATATATTATAACCCAAGTGTTAACTGTTATACAATAAGAATTAAAATGTTTAATTTTATTTTAGTCATCAATGAATGAAGATAAGAAACTTAAACGAGCCAAAAAGAAAGACAAGAAGAATAAAAAGTCAATTGATATTAAAAATAAGGCTTCTAAAAATAAACATATATTGACTAAGCCTTTGTCAATTGTCAAAGAAATACCAACAGAATCAGTTATATTTGAAGATCCAAAAGAGTCAAACAAAGAATCTAAAGGTAATGGAAGTTCTGATGATGATGACACAGATAAGCAGTTAACAGATTTGTCTGAGATACAAATTTTAGATTCATTAACTGGTATACCAAATGCTGAAGATGAATTACTTTTTGCTGTACCAGTAGTTGCACCTTATAGTGCTTTAACAAATTATAAGTAATTATTGAAAATACTTGTGTATTATGTTTAAATATAAGTATAACTAAAACTATATTTATTTTTAATTTATTAGATACAAGTTGAAATTAACACCTGGTAACACTAAACGAGGTAAAGCATCAAAGACTTGTTTAAATCTTTTTTTAAAAGATAAGACAGCAACTAGCAGAGAAAAAAACTTGATTAAAAGTGTTAACTTACAGGATATTGCTAGAAACATACCTAATGGAGTTAAATTGTCAGCTCCATCTCTCAGTAAAGTTCTTAATAAATAAATAATTATGCTTGTTGGCATTTTATATACTGATATTTTGTGTTTTATTTATGAACTAAACAGTATTGACTGATGAATGATATGTAAAAAAGACTTATACTTGTAGTTGAATTAAAAATATTTTATTCTCCCCTACCCCCATCAACTTTATTTATGTTTTTCAGCATTAGTTTAATTACTTGTTAGTTATAACTTAGAAGTTATATGGAATGCTATTTGACTTAAAATATCATGTAATTCTATACAGTGTATACTTAAACCATTATTATCAAGTAAATTAATGGTTACTTTTCAGTGTTAAAAATTATTGGCCTTTAGCACACAGCATATTATTTTGGTTAATCAAATTACAACTACCAATTTTGAAGTAAATAATATTTTCATTTAAATTGAATAATCAAAAATATAGCTATAGCTTATATACAATAAACTATATATTTTATTATATTAGTTATGCATTGTATATGGTATACAATTTTCATAATATTATCATTTGTATTGTAATTTACTAGTACATATTAAATTGGAACTTTACATGTTATGGTTAAGTATCTCTAGTATAAATCATTTGTATATGTTATTTTATTAGTTTAACAGTTTAAAAATCATCTGTTAACTAACAATACAAATTGTAATATACATAATTTGATTAATTATCACCTGTTTTCAACTAAGTATAAGTACTTACTCGCTTATCAGTATCATAATAAAGTTAATTAGTAATTAATATCATATTATATTAAATAAAAGTATTGAAATTTAGGACTTAGCTAACTAATATATAGCCCAAGAACGCTATTAACTTCAAGAGGAGTCCCTCTCAAGAGTGCTTTCAATTTTTTTTTTTTATATTTTCCATTGGTGAATTTAATTTATTATCTACTACAAAAATAAAAATTCTATCTAGTTGTTAGAAATATTGTTGAATATAAATACTGATATTAAATAATGTTTATTTTTGTAAATTAGTTATTCGCCTGTAAAATAAAATAAATAATCTATAATCAATTAAATATCATTCAAACATTCCATAAGTAAATGGGCAATAATACTTTACATTATTTATAACATGCTCTCTGTATAGTAGATCAGAATGCTCCTATGGTACTTCTACCTGTTGTAAGAATCTTCAAATGTGGTTGTATCAGGTCGACAACCTAAGTAAAATTCTTTAAAACTATGAGGAGTTTTAAACATGAATTTGGCTGATTGCTTCGTCTGGGATGTGTGTGGAGAACAGGTGAGAGGAAGCATTATAGCACATGATGTTTTCAATATGATATAGCTGTAATTGGAGAAAATCTGGAATAAGTTAACAGTAAGCTCAAGGAATAAAGAGTAGCACTTGAAGGAAAGAGACTAAGGATAAGTAGAAGAAACTAAAGTATGAGTTTGGAGAAACAGGACAAGATATCTAACAAAAATATGGAGTTATAGGAGAGGTTAAGAGTTTCTTAGTACTTAGAATCTTTTGTACAAAGACTGGTGGCTTTCACAAACATGAGATACATATAGACTTATATGTGAATATATATTTAAAGTGGAGAAGAGTAATTTGATTAAAGTGGAGTACATTATTTAGGTTGACTTTAAGATACTAATAAATAAATCCATTATACATTTTTATATAGACATACTAAATTGGTAAATAAATTGAAAGTGGGTTTTTGAATTAGGTAACTGAGGAGTGAGGGCAATAAATAAATTGAAAATAAAACAGCTGAACTCTATTTTAGTCAAAAATATTTCAACCAAATGTATTTAATCAGAAAGTAATTTCATCCTAACATATTTGAGCAGAAAAATATTTCTATGTTGAATATCTGTATGAATACATAACTATCAATATTTTTGCAGGCGACCCTAGAACACTTAAGTTCCAGGTGAACTTTTAACCATTTTAAATGAATGGACACAATTTGTAAAGTATATTTTATTTATGTAGTTAAATAATTCACACATATTAATTTTATAAAATAAAGTCTGGCGTGAAATCGGTGATTTTGATTGACACAACATTGCTAACAACTAATTAACTTTATAATATTATTATTTTTCAATAAAAGAGATGATATTGCTGGGTTCACCACTATGATTGTAGGGTAGGTAGTTGAAAAAGGAAGATAGATAAAATGATTTAATTTATATCTGTAAGCAACGATAAACCATTTAGAGACGAAAAACGATTCTGAGCAAAATTTGTTAATACGTCATTTGTAAATTCGTCAAATTTACGATTTTGTTTAAAATATGATCTTATACAAAAAAGAGATATACTTTGCACGTGTGTGCAGCCACTGTTGTAGGTGGGAATACTAACTAATGTTAGGGAAGGTGGGATACAGACGGGAATTTAATGTATATGATACCGTACAGCATGATGTACAGTATGATGAACGTATGAATGTTGTGAGAAGGGGTGTGGGGGGGCAAAGCCCTTCACAGGTAATTTTGATCAACATAAATATAGCACCCAATAAATTTAACCAAATTGCGCTTATGATGCTAGCTCCTTGAGTTTCAGTCACTCAAGCCGCCACTGTCTTCGGTATTGCCATTTACAGTATTTGTCCATGCCACGGTCTTAGAAAATACGATTCGACAACTTTACTTTTTCAGTGTTTGCTTAATTGTGCAAATATATTTAAAATGTAGCCACTGCATAATTAAGTACTGCCAGTTATACGTTTTTAAGGTTAAGTCTAATAGAATAATAAACTATCTGTGTTAACAAGTTGCTGACAACAATCTTATGTACTTATTCACTAATGTATTTATTTGTGATCAACAATAAAAAAACACATTACATTCAATTTTATTGAATTCAAAAAAATTCTAAGAACTACGAGCTTAACCGTCCTAAACTTTGGTCTTTTGGCGTTACAAATATAGATAGTTTTTTTGTTTTGTTACAGCCAAAAAAATAAATTTTAATAGGCATTGTTAGTATAATTTTTATTGTATAATAGGACAAATAAATTAGGATTACAAATAAAAACGCAGTTTAATATTATACAAATTATGTTTATTTTAAAAATATACGGTTTTATATTAAATTTATTTAATATTATTATAATAAATAGTTTATACATTCTGAATGTATAATTTATTTATTATGATATTCTATTTATTCTGCGGTATTGCGTTATTCAAAATGTGTTATCGATATTCAAGTTTAATCCTTTTAATATTTGGCGGTAATTTGATTAATCATTACTATAATGCCTAACCTCAAAAACTTTTAACCAGCATCGCTATTTAAAAATGTGGTTAGAATTTTAAATTTTTCGCGCAAACAAATTGAACATTGTCCTTGAGTTGACAGGGGGAAGTGGTCCGACCTTATCTCATAAGACTGAGGTCTATATTATGATAAAATAAGTATCATGGTCCATCTTAGATCATATACAATGAATATATACAGCTATACCTCTTGTGAAACAAGTACGTCGCAAAAATATCAAGAGGGTATGTAGCTATTGCGCATTTGTTGACTGTCGATGTCTTCATAATACGAATACCATTATAAGTTATAATCTATATGGATATTCGAATTTATATTTTACAAAGAAATGTATTACAATTCTATGATTTTTCAGTAGGTAAGTTGTGATAAAAACGATAACAGTACTTCGCGCATGCGCAAAAGTGAGATGATCTCTTGATATTATGTTGGTGACATATTTTGTTGCTTATAGCTCTATCTATTGTACATGATCTAAGTGGTCCATACTATACCTTAATCAGTGATAATAACAGAGGAGACATTTGCGGGCTGTCCTCAGCTCACTAGTCCATTAAAATATCTCAGTCCGTGGATTTAACCTTAATTATAATTGATAAATAATAATATTGTAATCTCAGTTTGTGTTTTTAAGTTTAATATTACATGTTTTTGTTTTTATTTTTCAACATCTTTAATTGTACAAAATATTAGTAGATATTTATGGTCCAGTAATAATATTACTACCAGTTAGTAAAGAAAGGAAACTACTAGCAACGAGTAAGATAAAAACTAGTACTTAGGTATTAAATATATTTTATTTCATGATTCAAGATAGTTTAAGATTTAATGTAGGTAGATAACTTAAATTGTGAAATTTATTGTTGTAGAGTGTATGACATGCACTTTGTTATTTTACAGGGAGGAGGAAAATAAAAATAAACAAATTAGTTTTGTAATCACATAAAAAATATATTGAATACCTTTATAATTATTTATCGTACTATTGATATGTGGAATTAATTTTAAAAATTAAAAAATAATTGGGTTGACAAATATATGAAAGATGTAACAGACATTCTTATATCGCTTATCATTTTTGATGTACAATGGTGGTTAAAACCACAATAGTTGAACATTTCTAGATGTAATTTTTACATAATTAAAATTTTTTTTTCATAAATTCCCTTTTTTTATTTTATTGGTTGCATTAGCAATTTGCTATAATTTTAAAGTTTAGGTTTAAATTTAACAATTTATATAAATTAACTTTTATCTGTATTTTAATAATCCAATGTTTGTACATAATTAAGTTTCTGATTTGGTTATTAATCTTTTCCTTTATTATGTAGGGTCAATATTGTTTAATGCAGTTGAATATATATATATATATATATAATATATATATATATAATATATTTTAAAGAGCAGGTGAAATATATTTTAACAATAGCCATTTTCTCTATTTGTGGTTTCAATTCTAAAACTAGTTACATATTATAAAGCATCATAATTATTTCTAAATAATAATACTTATTAATATGTGGAAAGAGGTACTTTCAAAAATTGAAGGAATAGTTGGTATTTTTGATGTTATGAGTACTCATGTTTTGTAATAATATCTATATGGACTTATTTTTCTTGATTATCACTTGATTATATTTTTAATTAGACTAAAATACTATTATTTTAACTAATTAATGTGTTTTTTTTTATTATTATGATTTCAGTATTTTTAATCCTTCTGGATCAAATCTTCATTTAAGATCATTTAGTGGTACACTTGAATAATGGATATTTTTAATATATTACTGTATATAAAAACATGGTTCACTGGTATTACTAGATTTAAGTCTTTAAAACGTAAAATTGATGAATGTGACACCATGAATAATAATAAGAGAGTCTGTATGGATAATAGTTTTGTAAAATTCAATGATGGAGAAGAAGAGGTGGAAATTAATGAACGTAGAATACCCAATGTACTACTCAAAGCCAACTCACCCAATATGCTTGATGGCATACATAATCTAAACACTAAAATTATTGATGAAGAAAACAAAACTAAAACTATTAAATCACAGGATTTACTAAAGCCACCAATTATATCAAAACCAAATAAATCTGGAAGTGATGAAATACAGGTTGGTGGAATGAATAAAAATTTAGCTATTGAGTCTCATCATCTAAACACTAAAATGGCTGATGAAGAAAACAAAACTAAAACTATTAAATCACAGGATTTACTAAAGCCACCAATTATATCAAAACCAAATAAATCTGGAAGTGATGAAATACAGGTTGGTGGAATGAATAAAAATTTAGCTATTGAGTCTCATCATCTAAACACTAAAATGACTGATGAAGAAAACAAAACTAAAACTATTAAATCACATGGTTTACTAAAGCCACCAATTTTATTAAAACCAAGTAAATTTAGAAGTGATTTAATGCAAGTTGGTGGAATGAATAAAAATTTAGCTATTGAGTCTCATCATCCAAACACTAAAATGACTGATGAAGAAAACAAAACTAAAACTATTAAATCACAGGATTTACTAAAGCCACCAATTATATCAAAACCAAATAAATCTGGAAGTGATGAAATACAGGTTGGTGGAATGAATAAAAATTTAGCTATTGAGTCTCATCATCCAAACACTAAAATGACTGATGAAGAAAACAAAACTAAAACTATTAAATCACAGGATTTACTAAAGCCACCAATTATATCAAAACCAAATAAATCTGGAAGTG